TGTTCATTTAAACTTTCCTTAAAAAGTATTTAATAACTTCAATTCGCTTTTCCCATTTCGTTTATCAATACACACTTTATTTTAGTAACTTGGGCGTGATTACTGCTTGTTTCAAATAACCTTCTGACACTTGTATCATTATTATTCTTCACTTCAACAGCTATAATTTTAATTCAATAACATAAGAATAATTTTTGATATTTTCGTAACTCACCGCACATTTCGAAATTTATCTTTTTATATAAATCTTGTATTTACTTCTTTTTATATATTATATTTTAATATTTTGAAATTCATAAACGTATGTAATAAGTATTATGATATTTATAATTTCTAGAGTAACGAAGAACCAATTTTGGTTTCCTAAAACTAATTTGCACAAATATATTTTAATATTAAATAAAACCGTTCGAATAAAATAGAAAACGAAAATTATCAACTAATAAAGATAAAGAAACCGAACGTTATTGCAGCTTTGCCACACTGTACGAATTTTCAGAAATCGACGATTTTGACACTTTGTTTCCAAATGTTATTTAATTAATTTTATATAAATGAATTCTTATTTTGCAATGTATTCCTATTGAATAAAAATATGTTAATATCTATGCGTGTAAACTATTTTTTCCTAATGATATAATGAACAAAAGTTTACGATGTGTGTACGATCACAAATGACATTCGCTGTACATATACATACATATGTGAATTATTCTCATGTTGCGTGGGTTAGTGCTTCTATGCACTTCTTACGTGCATTCAGCTTTACAAATCATCTTTACAACTCTATGAATTACATTATATCAACTTCTTCCTATCCAAACATGTTTCATACTAAATATCAGTTTCGTCGTTAGCAATTTCAGAAATTTGAACAAATCGACAATTTTACTTTGTTATTTTCCCAAATTATTAATTTTTGAATGGATAACGGGATACTAATGTAACCGGATTCGGTTACTGTGGGGTAACCAATTACTGTGTCTCTGGGTTGTTTTCGGACGTAATTAACTTTATATTTCTCAAATAAGACATATGACATTTTTTTATGCAAAAATGAACAAAAGAAAAAAGTAAACAATGTTAATATGTCTATTCGCTAAATATAATGTTAAGTATGATCAAAAACAAATCAAAGGCACAGCAATTGGTCACGCCACAGTAACCGGCTCCACTACCTTATAGTTACCCTTTTCTTCTAATTTTTGTTAACAAACATTTTTAAAAAATTTATTTATTTACTTTATGATTTTTTAATAAAAATGAATGCTCTTACGCTCTAGAA